ACGGTACAGGTAAAGGTACACCACGGATGCTGTTGGTTGCAAATGAAGGTAACGTACCGGGCGTGAAACGTAGAGGTTTCTACGGTACAGTGTTCGCTATCGCGGTCGGTGAAGTAATAGGTGCAGGGTTTACGGCAAAGGCAGTGAGGCAGCCGAGGATTGCGACGTCCGCTCATGTTGAAGTGGAAGTGGGATGTGAGGCTTTGACGAGGGCTGAGCATGACTTGAGTCCGTAAAGTAATAGGCACCAGGTCTTCCGTGAAGGCGAAGAGGCAGGACCGCCTGTTGGGTTGCGGGAGGACATGGGACTACTTTTTTCGGGAAGGTGAAGAGCAGGTTGGGTTGACGATGTTGACTCATGATGAGGTGCTGAAGTTGTGGCGTAGGTTGTAATACAGGAGATGTATTATTTCGGTGGGGGACAGACGTAGGGCTTCGTACGTGAGGCGTTTCCAACACGAGGTCATGCAATAGGCGGGGAGGTTGCAGGAGTCGTCGGTCAGGTCACGTGGGTGGACGTCAGAGCGAAGGATCTTGTTGATGAGGCTGCTGATGGCCCAGAGTTGATTGCTTTTTTGACCTTGAAGGGGCGCGGAATGATATTGAGGATGAAGGCGCCAATGATGGTAGTAGCTGCGCATGTGCAAGAGTTGGTTCTTTCGGCTGGACCAGTTCACCCAGGGGGCGGCATGGGTATCTTCAGGAAGGTCTTTGATGGTGTCCATGCAATCCAAGAGGAAGGTGAGGAGGATGAGGCGCATGCGTGGAGTGAGGTGAGCTTGCTTGATGTCCCACCAGCGGTCGGGTACGTCGTAGAGGTAGTCGAAGTGAGCTTGTTTGATGCGGTCGTCCACGTGCTGAGTCGTGCGAGTTAGAGCCATGTTTAGTTGCGATGCGAATCGAGGCGGGATTCGTGGTTAAGCGCGCCAATGAGTTCTAGGAGGGGAACGTCTTTTCTGTAAGCTTCAGCGGTGGAAGGATCGAGGCGACTGAGGTCGAAGTCTGTGTTGACTACGTTATGAGCCAAGATGCGGTGCTTGCTGAAGTGCAGCCAACGGCGGCCTTCGGAAACGTGGCGCGCCTCGTAGAGGTCTTTGATCCACTGGTACTTGGGTTTAACGTATTTGTGTTCTTTGTAGGGGCAGGGGTGTGGGGCATGCACGAGATCCAAGCAGTCGATGTAGAACTCCAGGAGCTTGAGACGCTCTTGTTCGTCGTGAGGAGAGGCGTCGTTCTCGTAGAGGGTCGGCAGACACCAAGAGCGAACGCGCTGTTCGAGGAAGGCGAGAGCGCGGGTACGGGGTCTTGTTGCTTGCATGGTAGTTGGGTGGGTTAGTGGTTTTTCTTTTTTTCCAAGCACATTTGTAGCGCTGCGTCCATGCCGTAATGATTGGCTAGGAGATCGAAGGCGGGAATGGACATGTGGTGTCCAACGGTCATGAGTTTGCTGAGTTCGGTACTTCCGTGGGAGATGATTCGTTTGAGATGACCTTTGTATTCTTGAACGTGGGCGTAGCGTTGCATGACGTCATGGTTATGAGACTTGTAATTGTCGGACAACCATTGGTGCTCTTCCTTGACCTTGGCGAGGGGATGAATGACGTCCAAGCAATCCAGGAGGTAAAGAATGAGCATGAGCTGAGGCACGCGGTGACGGAAGTCTTGTGGAAAGCAGGCACATTCTTGGACTTGATGGAAGTTGAGACGATCGAGTGTGGAGGTGATGAGACGGGTGTGATAAGTTTCGGTGGTTTCCATGAGGAGACTGATGCGCACTTGTAGCGTGTTAGAGTTTTTCTAGACCTTTCTTGACGCCGAACCCCACCCCTGCCCCAACGGCGCCAAGGCTGGCGGCTTTGGCGGCAGCAATGGCCGCAGGAACGAGCGCCAACAGGGGGAAGAACCCGCCTTGCTGAGAGCGTTTTTTTCGTTTTCGTCTACCCCCTACTTGGCCATAGTTTTGTTTTCGTGGTCTGGAACGGATGTTTCCTCCTACTTGTCCATAGGTTCGTTTTTTCTGGCGTGATCGGATGCCTCCGCCTCCTTGTTTACGTGGCATGTTTGTATTGGTTGATGATGCGGTGCAAAATCGAATAAAGGGGGCTGAAGACGAGCGGGCTTTTATTCATTTTCATCATGACTACCACCACGTTCGAAATGAAGCCAAGACCTGCATCGTTACTCATACCTACGGCACCTAAAGTGGACCAACCCGGGGCAACGTTTGAGGTGACGGACGAAGTGATGGCCGTCATGCCATTAGACGTGAAGCAGGGAGCTCCCATTTATTTAAGACCGTTGTCTTCCCGCGTGTGTTCGAGTTATGAAAATCGGGTGTTGGGATTGGATAAAATAAAGAACCCGGCCGAAAGGGAACAGAGTAACGCGTTGCTGTTGTTGGATTCCAAGTACAACGATTTGCTCAACCTTGAAAAGGCCTTGTTGGGGGGAGTCATGATGAGGCTGAAATTTTTTAAGACCAACAGACGAGACGATGACTGGGAAAGAGAAGAAGAGCCTGTGAGGTCGAGCATGGGGGAGCTTCATTACGAATACAGAGAAATGATAGCCGCCATTGCCAAGGCTAGGAAGGAGACCCTGGACTTTATCATGACGTTGACTCGTTGTTGTGGTAGCAAGACAGGCGATGAAGAGGAGGAGAACGAAGGTGAGGAGGACGAGGGGGATGCTGTCGTCCGCAGGAAGAGGAATCAAAAGAAGAAGGAACAGAGAAGGAGAAGGAGGATGAACGAAGTGGTCTCTGATCCCCGAGGAAGAGACGAAACGGACGGAAAGGATATAAAGGGGCCAGAAAGGGGACACAAGTACCAATTTGTGGAAGCAGCATGGGGAGACGCAGACGACGCAGAAAGCATCAGGCGGGAGGCAACGTCTTCAAGAGCCTAAAGAACCGTGCTCAAAGTGGCATTAGTAGTATCATAGCCAATAAGGCGCAAGGAATAGCTGGCAAGTTGATTGATTCTAAAGTAAAGTCCAAGAAAGCACGTGCTTTTCTTCACAACCAATTGAAAGCTGCCGTACCGTTTATTAAGAAGCAAGTTGCGTCGAGTGTACAGTCAGGAAGTGGAGCGAGCAAGGACATGCAACGGGCCATGCGTGCGATGAAACGATTTGAAAGAGTAAAGCTAAGACGACGATGATTTTGACAGTGATGACCGTGACGTT